TTAATAGAAAAATTGAAATTTCTGTTTATATTACTATTTCCAAGCACTTCTTTTCACTGTAACTCATTAAATATAGTTCTTTATATCCTTAACCCTAGAACACTATCGCTAAAAATAGTAACACCATCACTAATGCCGGGTGATTTTTACCCAATATAATATACCCAACAAAAAGTACTTGTCATCAAAATATATAAAGTATATGACAACACATGACAAATTAGAGTGGTTTTCTTTTATTTTCAGCTGTGCCATATCTAACAAAATGGAAAAAAAGTTTCATGGGGGGACCCTAAAAAATGCTCCAAAATTTCTGGAAAATTAGCAGTTGGAGAACAAAACAAAGCCTAAACAAAAATATAATCATGCTGGAAACTTGGTCTTTGGTCCCATTCCTGGGATATTTGAGTCTTCCTGGTGAAGGCACAGTCTCCTTGACACGTGAACAGCTGCAGGAGAGAGAAACAAAAAATGGCATTTTTTGAGTGGGTAAAAATGACCAGTTGAGTAAAATATTTTTTTAACCATATGAATTCACTTGGAAATCACCACTTGTTGATATTTATTCATAACCAATGCACTAAATAAGGATAAAATGCAAATTCCAGGACCACTCTGACTCACCTATTCCTTACATGCAGTCAGTAAACACAGGGTAGTAATGGCGTGGACACACCGGTCGACAGGCAGACATGGCACCTGTATCGCGTCTTCCTGTCCAAGCCTGTGGGGCAGTCAGCACACCTCACTAAGGGACCACTGCTTTCTGCTGCCACTGGTCCTGCCTCACCTTCAAGAGTGCCAGGGGTAGGGATGTCGAGCACGCTACAGATCAGGACTCTGAGTTGACGTGACAGATTTGAAGAGGGGAGCCTCTGCTCTGCCCATGGTTTGATGAGTGCCAATGCCAAAGCCTGCATATAAGGCCTCCTCTGCATTTGGTTTTCACCTCTCTTCATTGCATTCTCATTGTGAATGATCCATGAGTTTATCACACCAGCATTGATCATGCCATAGAACACGCAAAGGGGCCATCTTTTGGTTTTTTTTCCACAACCATAGTGAGCGCACATCTGGTCAAAAGTCTCGACACCTCCCTTTGTTTTGTTGTAAAATTCAATCACTTCGGGCTTACGAATGGGTCCTATGCTTGGTTGTGTATGCATGGATGACAGGAGCAGTACAACCTTCTTTTTTGAAGCTTTGTCAGGGAGGAAGGACACCAAGGTTAGTTCTTTGGTAAAAAGAAATGCACTGGAGTCTGGCGCGTGATTTTCTTTAACTTTCATCACTTGTGGGATCTCCCTTTTGTTTGCTTTTATTGTTCCCACTAAGGTCATGTCACAGCTAGCTGCATAACATAGCTTTTAGATTTAAAAAAAAAAAGAAAAGAAAAAGAAATCTAATCAGCTAACAATTGCCAAGTTAAACAAACCTTACGTATGTGTTACTCACTAGCTGGGATGCCAAAGACACTAAACCTGCAACAGGGTGACAGCTGTAGTTGAAGAGGTACAGTAAATATGGTGAGCCTGAATTTTGTCACCCTTGAAATGCGGCAAGATCGCCTGATTTTATACACTAACACTATCACCAGGTGAAATCCACCCAAAACCTACTTTACCCTCTATCACTATTGCCGGGTGAAATTCACCTGAACACATGCCTGTAGGAAAAAGCGAGATTTGGGGTAGGGAAACACCCACACATTCAAAGACGTCAAAGACAATGCTGAAGCTACCCAGGTACCCACCACACTCAGACAAACGCAACATATTGAAAATTATGTAAATACATTTGCTCGAGTGAAAATCACCCGGCGATAGTGTTCTAGGGTTAAATGTACATTTCTATGCAATTGCAACCGAGTACACCATGTACTCAAAAATTCATAAATTAAAACTTAAATTAATTTGTGCTTCGTACACAACAACATTGGTACAATTAATTCTTTTATTCTTCTCAACTCTAAAACTATACTAAAATATAATGACGGCATTCATCTTGTCATAAAACTGCTAAACAGCTGATACATGAACAAAATAACTGTCACGGCTGGGAAGGCGAGGCGTGTGGTGTTTGAGGAAGGAGGACCCAAGATGCAAGCAGTGGATGAAAATGCCAGTGAGGTTTATTTACAAGGTGTAGAGGCAAACAGGCAGTGGGGCATGACAAATAACTGAAAACACCTAAACTGGGAGAACTAAAATAACAGACCTGGGAGCATACGACAAAGGGATGAGAGGATGAGCAGCAGACGACGAGAAGAAGAAGAAGAAGCAGAAGCAGCAGCAGAAGCAGCAGCAGAAGCAGCAGCA